AAACTTATTTATTCAAATTTTAAGCACAAACTTTCAATCCCCTTCAAAGTACTCTCCACTTACACTAATACACTTGTCTAGTCTTTTATTCCATTTTTCAAAACATTGTCTAAATTCTTCTTTTGAGATGCTTCACAGCGCCTCCATCGTTTTTTCCTTCACCTCGGCAACATCAGCAAAACGGTTTCCTTTCATGTCTCTTTTCATTTGAGGAAACAAAAAAAAGTCACACGGGGCAAGGTCAGGTGAGTATGGATGGTGACGAACAGGGGTCATACCATTTTTGGTCAAGAATTGTCGTACAGACAGGGCTGTGTGAGCAGGGGCATTGTCATGCTGGAAAAACCAGTCACCCGACTGCTGCACAATTTCTTCAATGATCCGTTGTCGATCTTCCTTGATGATTTCACGAATTTTTTCAACATTTTCATTTGTTCGGGCCGTGGAAGGACAACCAGAACGAGGTTTGTCATTAATTGACATTTCACCATTTTTGAAACGGGAAAACCACTCAAACACTTGAGTTTTCCCCATAGCATCGTCCTTGTACGCCGTTTTTAACATTTCAAGAGTTTCTGTTCCACTTTTCCTGAGCAAAAAGCAGAATTTCATCGCTGCACGAAAATCAGCCATTGCAAAAACGACGATCACACAAAACAGTTGTCACTATAAACTCTGCCGAAACTAGTCCTTACCTTCTGAAGCAGCGGTAGTCGGCTTATCGACTCAGGAATATTAGCTCTATGCACTCACAGAGGCAAAACACGGTACTACAAAAGCTCTGCCCACAAAAAAATTAGTTTGGTTTATTTTGGGTACCCCATCATATTTGATAACTTCCCGAAGTACCCTATGAAAATTTTGTTAGGAGATTTCAATGCCAAAGTAGGGAGGGAAGACATTTTCAAACCAACAATTGGGAATGAGAGTTTGCATGAAATTAGTAATGATAATGGAGTTAGAGTTGTAACCTTTGCCACATCAAAAAATCTTGACATATCCTGATGGGAAGATACACAATCAAATAGACCATATTTTGATAGATAGGAGACAGCACTCAAGTATATTTGATGTCCGATCATTCAGGACAGCAGATTGTGATACTGACCACTATGTGCTGGTAGTAAAGGTTAGGGAAAGACTGCCAGTGAGCAAGCAAACAATGCATAGAGTTCATATGGAGAGGTTCAATCTCAAGAAATTAAATGAGGCAGAGGGTAAAGAGCACAGTATTGTGTTGAAATCTCAAATAAGTTTGTAGCTGTGGAAAACAATGAGGTGGATGTTAATAAAGCTTGGGAAACTATTAGAATATCAAAATTTCTGCCAAGGAGAGTCTAGGTTATTATGAACTGAAGAAGCATAACCCATGGTTTGATGAAGGATGCTCAAAATTATCAGACAAAAGTAAACACGCCAAATTGTAGTGATTACAGGATCCAAGTGAAATAAATGGGGATAATCTGAACAATATAAGGTGTGAAACCAGCAGGCATTTCAGGAAAAAAGGAAATATCTGAAAGACAAAACTGATGAGCTTGCAATGAACAGTAAGAACAAGTACATTAGAGACATGTATAGAGGAATAAATGATTTTAAGAGGGGTTAGCAACCTATAAGTAACTTAGTGAAGGATGAGAATGGTGATCTGCTTGCAGATTCCCACAACATTTTGAATAGTAGGAAGAATTACTTCTCTCAGTTATTGAATGTACATAGGGTCAGTGCTGTTAGGCAGACAGAATTCAACACAGCTGAGCCGTTAATACCTGATCTTAGCCCTTTTGAGGCTGAAAGTGCTATTGCAAAATTGAAACGGTATAAATTGCCAGGTAGTGATCAAATTCCGGCAGAACTTATTCAAGCAGGAGGCGAAATATTAGGTTTTGAGATCCACAACTTAATTACTTCTATTTGGTATAAGGAAAAATTGCCTGATCAGTGGAAGGAGTCTATTATTGTACCAGTTCACAAGAAGGGTGATAAAATTGATTGTAGGGGGATATCACTGCTATCAACTTCATATAAAATTTTGTCAAATATTCTTCTTTCAAGGTTAAGTCCATATATACATGAAATTATTGAGGATCATCAGTGTCGGTTTTGACATAACAGATCAACTACAGATCAGATCTTTTGCATTCGTGAGATATTGGAGGAAAAATGGTCCAGAACCTTTTGTCTTCTTATCTGTTGTCCAAAAATATAAAAATTAGAATATACAAAACTATAATTTTGACTGTGGTTCTGTATGGGTGTGAAACTTGGTCTCTGACATTAAGGGAGGAATACAGACTGAGGGTGTTTGAGAACAGGGTTTTGAGGAGAATATTTGGACTGAAGAGAGATTAACCCCTCCAGCATGTGCGACGCACCATATGCGTCCGCTCAGTTACATGCATATAGCGTGCATTTATGTGGGGGTATTTAAATCCCTCCCGGTGCTTTATTTTCGCAAGCATTGAAGGTTTTGTGCAGACATTTACCTAAATATTTTTAAATAACGAAACCGCTATTTGAAAAATTCCAAAAAATTATATTATATTTACATTTGTTTACAGTTCATTATTATAAATGTTTATTTACATTTTGTCAAGCTATTTATTTTTCCCAGCTCACCATATCCAGTGTGTAGTGGTTGACCTTGGTGTGATATTGCTCAAACAAGGGTCTAGGCAGAGAGATGGTGTCCCTGAGCAGTTTTTACACCTCTATCTGGTTTCTTTTCTCTTTCCGTTTTGTGTACACACCACACACCTTCTTCTTCCAACTTTATAAATTTCGGTTTTGGGATTTTTTTGAATGAAATGCTGACCCGTCAATCTCGTACATTCCATGTCGGTATCTGAAGGGCTCCCTTTGCGCTTTTCTAAATTCTGTCCATGGGACTTTGCTATGATCTTATTCACTAAGTTTATTCTGAATAACAGATGATCTTTCTTGTTACCAGCCTTGCAGTACAGAATGTAATCATTCAACACTGTCGTATCTACTAAGTGGTTGAATAATTTCTTGTACCACACTTTTTGCCTTTTCCTTTCTAGCAAGAATGTTTCTAGTAGCTGATCTTTCAAGTTCTTCAGTTCCTCCCATATATTTATAATACTCTATTACACACATAGGTTTATTTACAAATTCTAACCCACCCTTTCGACTTACGAGTTGCATTTCGTCCGAATGTTTAGTAGTCAGCACTGAGACATCGTGCTTATGCTTCCACTTCAACGCCACCAATTTCCCACACTTTGCACTAACTACTCCTTTCTTCAGTTCCTTTTTTAGATCCATTGGCATAACTTTGCGCGTGATACTCACTGTTCCAACAGCATCTGTTGTCCTCTGAACTAATCTCTGGAAAAGATCGGGACTGCTATAAAAATTGTCCATATAAAACGCATCTGCCCAAGTCTAATAGTTCCTCGCACAAACTTAGAACAACTTTTGTTGAGAAAAGATCTATGTCTTTGGTGATTTCACAGCCTAATTTTATCCCTGGTCCACTGTAAATTATAAAATTCCACAAATATCATACGGAATCACAAAGTTCAAAACTTTTAATCCCAAACCGGGAAGCTTTCATAGGAATATACTGTTTCCACGAAAGTCTATCTTTCCACAATAACAAAGATTCATCGACACTTACTTCTTTGCCCCGTATGTACACTTTCTGGAACTTATTTTTCAAATATTCACTTACCGGAAGAATTTTATACAATTTAGGATCTCTTTTTGCAATTCCCTTATTGGTGTTATCTACAAAATGGAGAAATCTGGTCAGCAATGAAAACCTTTCTTCACTCATTACACTGGGAAAAAATGGTGTTTCTAACATATGTTTCCTACTAAAATACATCCTGAGGTTTGTTTTCTGAATTATTCCCTTAAGCATAAGGAAACCTAGGAATATCCTAATTTCATTCGAAGTTATGGGAACCCACTTTTGAAAGCGCTATTTTATTAGCGTCGGGGCAAGAAACTGTCCCGCCAGACAAGTTACGTGACCAAATGCCATGGGGCTCCGATAAGAGGGTGTCGCAAAGCAGAAAAGGAATAACAGATTCATAAATGTTGACACAGGCGTCAGGCAACTTCGACCCCTAGGTTCGTAACATCGTAAATCAGACACAGCTTCTTTGTCGCCAGTAAGCCAAGCCAGTAAAAAAATACACACACAGATAACAAGCACTCAGTGAAAGTTAGCTAACAAATTATCTCTCTGTAAGCAAGTCGGAGTGTGAGTTGGAAGAATTCTTTCGTAAGCAGCAGACATCAGATGCTTTGTCCCAAGCAAAGCGAGTAAAAAAAATTACACACACAAACAGATAGCGAGGAATGAAAGAAGTCAGTGTTAGCTGACATATACATTCACTGGAAGTACACACAACAGAGCATAGGCGTTAAGAATTCTTAGTGAAAAGTTTGGACGCAACATATGCGGCGCGCACGCTTACAGCAC